CCAGTAACTGTAATTCTAGTCAGGTTTCAGGTATGTTTTATAAATGCTTTATTTTTAATTTTACATTTATCTCCAGAAAAATAAGCAAAACAATATAAAGATACTGGGATAAACTCTGCTTTCACTTGCATCAGGAGGAATCGAGTTTCTTCAACAAATAGCTATTGATTCACATTGATGCAGCTGAGAGTAGGATTTGTCCTAATGCTCAGAGTTCTCTCTCTCAGGTTTTGAAATTAAATGGTCTCTACATGCAGGAACAAACATATTCTTTCGGTGTGGATTATTTGAATCTTAGATTAAGAAAAAGAAAACCTAATGGTAAAGTCCTTTTCAGAACAGAGTGCATGTGGCTGTTCATGTATGTGTCCTCTCTAACACACTCCAACCGCTCATCTTACAAAACCACTGCCAACCCCATTTTATTTTCTTTCTACTTGATCTGCAACAGAAAGACAGATCCCTTCAGAATGTAAAGGCACAGCATGAAGAAAGCAAAGGCCTGATAATTTGCATGCAGACAGGCTCTAGTTCTCTTTGAATGGAGGGAAACAAAAGAAAAAAAACATACCTGCAAAAATGTCAAACCTCAGAAATTTTCCTCAAACCCCTTCAGAGGAAAGGAGTTGGTTTTGGAGGAGCTGAAAGTAGAAACTGAGAAAAGCTTAGGATCTGCTCCTCTTGAATTGTAGTTGCTCTCAGATCTGAAAGGTTGGGATTGTGAGGATATCACCAATGTTTAAGTAAAATATGTCTGGATTTGCAGAGTTTATAGAGCTTGGAAAAATAGGTGACTATCACCCCTCTGTCCCAGGTGAAGAATCTGTTTAACAAAAAATGCTTAAGGGCAAGCAATAAATTGCAGATTTCCTGATCCTGTATATTAGCTCCTGTATTGTTTATTAATGTTCAAAATATTTGATAACAATGCATATAATGACAAACTGTTGCCAGGAGCCTGAGTAGAATAGAGGGGTCAAGGGGAGGCCTTGTACAATTTTTTTTTTTAAGTACTTTGCTTTTTTTTGTTCTTATAATTTATCTACAATCATTCCATTATATGATCATAATTACTTGTCTGAAGTCTTAGAGACATCATGACAGAAGCTTATCTCCAGAAAGTCTGTAAGCAACAGAACAGTAATATGGCTTTTGAGGGCAGCAATTTTATGGGACAAATCAACACAAGTCAAATTCTTGAGAAACTTTAAAAATCCTATTTGGCTCAGTAGCCTTAAATAAAGAAGAGGAGAAGTAAAATACAGACTGAATGCTGAGTTCACCTCATTATTTATAAATAAAATGGTTCTCAGTTTTCCAAGATATAGTGCCAGCACTTGATGTCTCTTCGAGATTTCAAAAACATTAATTAATCATTGTCTTTTCATGGAAAGTTTTTGTGGCAGCCCAGTAAATACCAATACAGAGAGGAAAAAATTCACACTTAAATGTTTAAATTCTCTTGAGCTCTTCTGGACCATGTAACTTCTATGCTCTTTGTGGCTCTGCATTCATCTTTTTCCTTGCTGTATGGTTAGGATTTTTTTTCTGTAACTGCAAAATAAACTTTAAAGGTGGTCACTCTAAAGTCAACTTTCTTTGTCACATACTTACTGGTCTAGTCAATACCTTTGTATTGTAATGTGGGAAAAAAAAAACCCTAGCTGAATGTGTGGGGAAAGGAATGAAAGGTCATGTCCATCATGAAGTGCTAAACTTTAATGGTAAAGCTTGTCTTCGAGATTTAGAAGGAAGGTGGGTCTTGGTAAAAGCTGCTTTTAGTGAGGTGTCGTAATGTAGGAAACTAGAATAGAAGAGATGTTGAAAATAAATCAGGGATTTGCCCGCTGTGTCCATGGTCACTGTTCTTCACTGGAGGATTTTCTTTGTGCTTTACTTTACTTTTTTTTTTTCCATCCAGGAATCCATAAACTAATTGTTGCTTTTTTCATAGTGTCTGGTGCCCTGGAGATATAAAATACCATGAATAAACTGCATCTTGAAGTCTGTGTGTGCAGTTTGGCTTCAATAGCCCTACTTTCTGCATATTGTGTTATACTGTGTTATATTGTGTTTTATCCTGATAACTGGAACAAAACCTTTTTCATTACAAGATTCTACTCAGTCCAAATAAGAGTATTAAAAGTTGTGCTTCTGCAAAATTTTTGTTAAAGAGTCACAAAGATCTCTGCCCAGGGGTGATCTGAAGAGAGCTGGAGTAGGCCTTCCATCAGGCCCATGGGGTTTTTGGAGTTTTTTTAGACCAATTTTTGCATTTCTTAGTTGCAACAAAGTGTTATACTACTTTTAGAAGGGCTATGTTCTCTTGGCTCTGGGAGGGGTGGGCAATCTACTCGGGATGACGGCAGCATCGGTTTGCTCATTTCCCTCCTCTCTCCATCAGGCTAAAGGCAACTGGCAGTTTACAGTCCTTTACTTCCAGAATCTTATCCCTTTCCCAGTTTGCCCTCTTATCATTAGCCCTTCAAATAGGTCTTTTTCTTCAAGCCCCATGAAAGGGAATGGTGAAAGGCTCTATTTCCTTTTCCTCAAAGAAGAGATCAGAAACATTTTCTTGTTCTTCTCACCATCTTCTTCCCCACTTGCAAGTGAGAAAATCTTTGCCTTGCTAAGCCTGTAGGGCTTAATTCACTCTGCTAAATACCTCTTAATCCCTGCCTCTTCTGTGGTGGTGATCTTTTCCATTAGACAAGGTGCAGCTCTTCATCTTACCTGCTCACCAAGGTGGACTCTTATTACAGCAGCCACAGTTTGCAAAAGAAGTTTGATGTATTGATGGTGATTGAAAAAGCTGTATTAGAGGTTGTCCAGGAGGCTGATGACAGGGCAGCACCTTGCTAAACCACAGTATCAGTATCTGGGTTACTTGGTCAGTAGATAGTATTTGAGTCTTTGAGGAAAAATTAATCACTTGTTCTTTGCTAATTGCTATGCAAGTAAAGATAATTATATGCTTGCCAGCAAAAGATTCACTAAAACAGTGTTGGGAGATCACTTCACATATCAAAGAAGGGGTAAATCTGTGCCAGCAATGCTTTTACCTGAAATAAATCTCTGTTAACTGAAACCTCTCTTATTTTTGGGGTAACATTAGAGAAGAAAGGTTGGTTGTTTTCAAATGGCATCTGAGTTCGTGAATCTGCTGGGAGCAGCAATCCACTTACCTCATGTTCCAGTGTAAAAAGGAAGATGATACTGATGTCTTAAAGGAAAGTCCATCCGAAGCATAACAGTGCTTGAAACTGCGTGTTTCATGCAGTACATGAAACTGTTCCTATCATGCTTACATTTAGCAGAGTCTAAAATTTACCATTGTAATGAGAGGAAAACCAAGATGCTTACAGTTGCAGTGCTAAACTTCAAGTAGTTGAACTACAATTCATTACCTCTTCAGCTACAAGACTGTTTGGTTTCCTTTCCTAATAACAGTGTTGTAGTTTGATACCAGGGGATTTGGTGTTAGGAAAACAAATGTCAAAAAAAGAAGTGAATTGAAGATACAAGGAAGTTGTAGTGCATATTTTGGTATGAGTAAACTTTGAAATGTAAGGTAAAGCAGGAATCAGAAAGGGCCTCTCTGAGAAATTGAAATACGTCCAGGCATTTTAAGAAAATGGAGTTTTGATAACAGGAGACAGGAGTAAATCCAGGAGAGGAATCCGAGGTGGCCCTCAAGTACAAGAGGAGAGGTTTCTTTCTTAGTGCTGAGATTTGCTAATGCAAATGTAGTAAAGTTAGGGTAACAGCCCTGAAGGATGGAGTTCTATGCCCACCAAGCACGTATGTAAGGTAGTAACAATAACAGAATTGTCTCTCACCCCTTTAGTATATGTCAGGGTTTTTTTGAAGAAGGTGTATTTGCATACAGCATGGCCATCTACTCTCTGTTGTTGTTTCTTCCTTGCTTTTTCTATTAAGACCATCAGCAGAGTTTTGCCAATTTTATAGTATTGATGGCTAGCAAATGCATTGGCTTCCTGTATGATACATTACTTCTGCCTTTCTGCACCAATTCTGGATCTGTGCAGTACACCTAATATGCCTTCCTAATTGTTGACACCAGCATACTGTTGAGTGACATCAGCCTCTCCTTGTTGAGTGTTTGAAGATGCATTCCCATTAACTGTATATTGTACAGTGACAAGAATTTCTGGCACTGTTTAAATCAGTAGTATTAAATGCAGATATCTAATGTGAAGATGTTCTGGGCATGTATTTTACAGTCTAAGGTCATTGAATATGGTTGTTGCTTGAACTACATGAGGGGAGCTGTAGGAAGAAGTGTTGTGGCTAGTACAACGGGCTTTGCCTGCTCTTCTCTTTCAATCAGTACCTGATGGAAAGTTTTGGGAAAACACTATGGAAGACTGTGTTATTGGTTAGGCACTGTGTGCTGTGTGATGTAGAAAAGCAAAAGACTGGCTGCTCTTGTCTTTTAGGTATTTTAGCAATTAGGTTCCCTCAGGTTGTCAAAGTCAGCTAATTAAATTTTTCACCCTTCTAATTCCATCCATCTTTTTGCTGCATTTTGCCTGCTCGATCCCAGTTATTTGTTTTGGGGTGAGGGCTGTTTGTTTCCCACGCAGAATAACAGAACAAAACAGTTGGTGGGATCCAGGCTGACTGTGGCTGTATTTCAGATAACAGGTGACTTGTAATAATCAGTAGAGATGTTGCTCAAATAACTATTTATCCACATTTCCTGATTTTAGTTGCCTTATTTCTCACCTGTCTTCTGTGATGTTTTACGGGAACAAATGAGTCACTGTCTTCAGCTGAATGCTGTAGAGTGTGAAACACAGTGTTTATTTTGAAGCAGAGCCAATGAAATGCGTCCTGACAAAGCTGAAAACGATGCTTCTGTGTATTCTTCAGTGCCATCTACCGGCATAATTGCCCATTAGAGATTTATAGGCGAAGAACATGCTCCTAATCGCCAGCAATTTAGAAACATTTGTTTCTTTTTTCTTTTATTTTAGGAGCAAGGCAAGATTGGTGTAGTCTTCAATATTGGCACAGTGGATATCTCTATTAAAGAGGAAAGCACACCTGTAAATGATGGCAAATACCACGTAGTACGCTTTACCAGGAATGGTGGCAATGCCACCCTTCAGGTTGACAGCTGGCCAGTGAATGAACACTACCCCACAGGTAAATATTTTTTTTCTTTTTGTTTTTCTCTGTAAGTGTATCTGTACCTATAAACTCATGTTTAATCACAACTGGTTGCTATATAAATCTTTGTTACTTCATCTCAACAATAAATTGACCAGCCTGGTAATGCTTATTGTGTCTCTTGGAAAACAAACTAGTGGTCCTTTACACCGGAAGTATAAGCACGCCAGCTGTGTGGTATGATGCACATAGATCCTGCCATTTCAGAGGTCTCTAAGTGAATCCTGATTCAACAACAAACTCGGTTTTGCTACTTGTGATATTTTCTAAATATTTAGGGGAGAGAAGTTTCGCACAGACCTTACAAAAAGGAGAAGTGACTAGCGGCATCCCAGATACTGTGTATATAGATATGGAGTTGAAATGTAAGGAATGTGGAAGATTAGGCAAGTATTTGTTCAGACCTTATGCTTGCCTCCTAATTTTTCATCATCTGAATTTCATTTTCTCTTTTAGGTTTGCGGATACAAAGGTTGACATCTAACCAAAATGACAGCTCTTAGTTAACTTTTAAGTCAAAATGTAGTGGAACAATTAATTATCTCTTTGGAAATTATCACCCTAAATCCAGCAGAAATAGTGAACAACTGGCTTTTGAGACACTCTTGAGACTCTTGAGGTCACATGTTTTATCCTGCCACTGGCAAATCACAGCCTTGTGATGCTTTATGTCATTATGCTAAAAGGTCAAACTCACTCCAAGTGAAAAACAGACTGTTGTATATGATACTGACAGTGCATAAGATAGCTGAGCTATGATGATGTGTATGGTTACAAAAGGCAGAATGAGCACAAGAAAAGAATTCCAGTGTTAACAACATTCTTCTTATTCACATGTTGTTGTCTAAGTTCAAGCCATGATCTTACTGGTTTCCAGTATGAAGTCTAAGCAACTTTCAGTTCTTCTTTTCTAGGTTGTACGGTACTAACTCACTAACTAAATAGTTGTGTAGGAGTTGTTCAGAAGAAACAAACTCAAATTATAGGAAATACCCTAACTTGATGTTACATACTAATTTATGTGACGTTACACTAATGAATTACTCTAAGGGGATGATTTAATCTCTTCCACTCCCTCAGAAAGTGCACAGGAAAGTTTTTAATGTGAGGACTCTATGCTCTGATGCTCTCTACCACATATTCAACACGGCCCTTTGTCAGTGTTTTGGTGAAGTGTGTGCAAAAGGGTACACTTCAATTATTAACCTTATTTCTGTGAAAAAAAATTATTTTGAATAATGCCATGATAGACACACTGAGTTAGATTCTACCTCTGCTATCTATTGGTTAGAGAGGAAAGTGGGCTAGGAAAGGCCCAACTGAGGATCTTTCTTCTGCTTCTGTCATCAATTATTTTGTAAAATACCTCCAATCCAGTTGGCAGCCAATTACAATCACTAAGAACCCTATGAATAAATTTTCTTCTTAGATTACTTACTGTGGTAAGTCCCTGGTGTAAAGAAACAAAATATTCAACTCAATGCTTTAGAGATTTTTTTTATTTTTTTTAAAAGGGAAAATAAATCACACTGAAAGACTACCTCAGTACCTTCTGCTTCTGCCTTGGATAAAGATATTTCTGTGTTTTCATTAGATGTATGGTTTTATGGAATCATCATTAATCTCATGTTCTGGGCTAGTATTGAGTGTATGCAGTGGTACCTTGAGGAGAAAGGACACCTTTATCTTCCGGACACCTTTATCTTCCAGACACCTTTTCCTTTTTGCGCGTGTATTTCAATTTCTGTCTGTTTGTAGATGATGAATTTTTCAGCCTCCCTCTGTGAAAATAAGGCTTATGGGATCATACTGTGTGTGTCTGCAGGTTTCTCCCTTCTTAATTCAGCTGAATTTAAAAAAAAGGGGCAAAAATCAAAAAAGTAAAGATCCTACATGACTATGGAAAAAAGCAAGCAAGCAAGCAAACAAACAAAAAAAACAAGGGAGAAGGGCAGGGTTCCAGGCCTTCCAGAGGAAAGGACTGTGGCTTGATCTCAATTCATGTAAAATACCAGAATATCCATATAATGCAGCAGCATTATAAGTGCCTCAGATTCAGAAAAAGATTCAATGAACCAATAACTACAGGAAACCAATCCCTATTAGTCCCATTTTCTCTACAGTTAATGGTTGAAAAAAAAGACTAAGCAGTAGCTTTTGAAATTAAGAATTTGTTCTCTTTTACAGACCAAACCTGCATTATAGTTTCTTGTATGGAGTGCAAGACCAAACCTGTGTTCAGCAGAAATTCAACTCTGTAAAACGCTTTGTGGTTGGATGGGCCCAGGCTAATCCAGTGTGTTTCAACTGGAGACTGCTGAAACTGTGATTCATGTCAGACTTGTGTAGTACTAGCTGAGGAAGCCTGTACATTTTGCATAGGATCAGGTCAATTCTGGAAACACACTTATTTGTACTGTTAAAAAAAAGTTATATTTGTAGCACATGCATGGTTGGGCACACTCTGTTGTCTGTAAAATGAACAATTTCATGTGTACTTGGTTTTCCACACGGTGCTGCAGCCTAATGCTTGCAAATTTTATAAACTAGCTAGTGTATCTTCCTTGTCATCACACATGGTACAATCTTCAGGCAGCAGGGCTACATTTTGAATGGCATTTCCATGCTCCTCTCTGAGTTTTATTACTTGTAGAAGGATTATAAATTCAACTAATAATTACTTGCTCATTGAAAAGCACAAATAGAAGTTGGATATTCATTAAATGAGCAAAGTGAGAGAATGTTGGCTTTCCTTAAAACACAGTCTTCAGTTACGTTGAAATTAACTGAAACTAGCCCAATGGGACCAAAATACTCTAAAGATGCATTTTTGAAACTTAAAAAAAAAGACAAGGAAGTTAAAGAAAATGAAACAGCAACAAACTTACAATTTAGGCACTGATGTTTTGATTAATATAGCATCCAATTGCATTTCAGTGACCTGCAACATGAGCTTTCTCCTTTCTTGTGAGGACAAGGGTTAGAGAGAAATGGTAAAAAGGAATTAGTTTGGAGCTAAGGTTGGCTAAACTTTGCAACTGAAATAATCCAAATCATTAGGGATGACCTCTCATCATTAGTGTCGTTCCAACGCTGCTGGAGTTTCTCTTACTGGAGAGTAAGACTGAAGAGTAAGACTGAACAGTGGCCCAGTACAGGTATCTAAGACAAAGTTCCTGAGATGGCAAATAGTAGTGTTAGTACTGAGGCTGCCATCTGCAATTCATCTGTCATGGTTCAGCCAAAACCACTGAGCTATTTGCATTAGTTTCTCCCTTTCTGCTCTTTCTCAAGAACACAATAAGGGGATTACTTTTTCCATAGGCTGTACTGATAGCCAACTTCTTGATGCTTGATTCATTAAGTTGGTCATCACAGTGTGTTTCTCAGTCAGGGTATAAATATCCTGCTATGCTCTAAGGTACAGGTCCCATGACTGCTTCCCTTCTGTTATCTCACAAGCTTTCATCCTTTTGTGTACATACAAGAAAACAGACTGTGCTTGGACACTGTTGTTTTCTTGCTTTTATGGTCTTGGTGAGAGCCTTCTCTGTATCTAAATACTTATAGTGATGAAATTTGGACCAAGAGTTCAGGAAGAGGAAGCACCTGACATGTTTTTGTTTCAATTAGAATAAACCTATGAAATTTGAGACAGTTCAGAGAAATTTTCAGAATAGTTAAATCTGTCTTCACACAAAACTGGGATGTTTCAGTCCCTAAATTTTCGTTAGGGACTCACATCTAATTTTTCTTAGATGTGAGATTTTTTTTTCTCTGTTCACTCACTTTTCTTGCAAAAAATACTTTGTGTGTTGCCAGATTTGTAGTGTATGTCAAAACAAACCTGATATTCCTGTTCATTCATCCATGCACCGACTACATTTTCTACAGTGGAAAAAAAACCCAAACTAGTTGAAGAGAAGCTGTAGAGTAAGAGTGTCCGTGACATGAAAATAAAGTCTAATTGGAGTAATATTTTAAAGGAGAAGATTAAAGGAAGGAAGGCAAGAGGTGGGAGGGAGTTGTCATTTAAAGAGGTGCACAATTTAGCAAGATAGCTGTAGCCTGGATTTTTTTAATGCATTTTAAAAATTAAAACAGCACTAAGCAACTGGATTCTTATCAGGATTCATTAGTTCATCCACACACTACATATTTTATATTTTTCGCCTTTATCATTCTCTTGAGTGATCTCTCAGCCTTCTTGTAGTAGCCTCTGCCCTTTCAAATTACATTAATTTGCATTTCTTTTGCTACTGAATAAGAGAAAAAATAATTCATCCTCTATGCCCCTACTTCATTTGCTCTCTCAAGTACATTTCTGAGAGGAAGATGGATTTCTGGAAAAGCTGGACAGTTAGCTCTTGACAGCAGAACTAACTGCTCTGGCTCGTAGTGTGGTCAGATAAGTGTATACCTATAAAACAAAAAGTTGAATCTGAGACCCTGATATCTGTGCTGAGGTTTTCCTTCAGAATAGTTCCAGTTCCAAGAACTGGATGTCCCTGGACATTTGGGGCATATCTTCTGATTTAATTTCGTTTGAAAGCAATCCAATTTGAACTACATCTTTGGTAGTCTATGTGATACAGTCTTTGTCTGAAATATGCTTTCTAGAAACACAGGTTAAAGTGATAGTGGTTTAGATTCTCCTACCTATCTGAAATGTGAAAGGCATCAGTTCTCCCTTGCTATATTTTTTCATTTACTTGGTGGAAAGTTCTGAAGTAGCTTGATTTGTACCAGGCACTTCATGTAAGACATGGAAGAAAACTGGCTGAGTTCCTACTTACTTCTTTCAATAAGTTTTCTAGCAAACTGAAGGAGTACCGTGACTATGGAACTTCATAGTCTGCTTTGAAACAGATCATTTCTTGTCCTAGTGAAGCCATTTATCACCTTTCCCTGGATATTTTCAGTCTCATACCACAAGTGGCATGGTCTTTTTGTTTGATGATTTCCCACCTCATCCC